ATGTAAATGAAAACTTGTGTATTCTAACGTAGTAAATAAAAATTTACATGTTTAAATAAAAATTTATATATTATATAATTAATGATTAAATAACTTACGCAAAAAACGTCTGGTGCCCATATTACATATATCCAATAAAGCATGATATCATATATAAAAACCACTTCAAGTTTTCCAATACTTATATAAAAATAAATATGACCCACCCTCTCATTATTCCAGAATTGCTCGAAAACATACAGTATTTGGTTTCTTAGCCATGTATCAATAATCAAGAAGCACAAACACGATATTAAATGTAAATCCAGTTAGTTTTATTTTTAGCATAATGCATCTATTTCCGGTTTAATCAAGCTGCTCGGTGACCTTCTCCAGTGTACATGCGAAACTTTTATGCTAACTCGAAATACACAACTTTCTATTCATTATTAAAATAGAATGATCCAAGTGCGGACCACGTGATGTTACCACCGCCTCATAATTTCGGAATTAAAGGGGTTTCGTCACCATCACGCGGGAACCACAATCGTGTTACAATCATTGACCTGAAAGCTAACTCCGGTAGACTCCGTTTTTGATTTTTAATGTTTCAATAAGAAATGTGTGAAGAAAAATCGTGCCTGTGTCTTTTTTTCATCGGGATACTGTTAGTATGGACTTATTATCCGGTAAATACTTTCAACTTAGACTTTGCATATAAATACATTTAACTGATGGCATTAGTGATTTAAAGTGGACAACCCGCATAGAAGTTGACTTCGATCAGATTGTGGGTAAAACTGAAGATATTTTTACTAAGTTGTGTGATGTTGACTTACCAGGTAAAATCACTTCACTTAAAAAGAGTCGACTGTAATTCAATAACTCTTATTCTTCTAATTACAGCTTACTCAGAACTCATCGAAAACAGAATAGCCGTTGCAAAACTTGCAAATCTTGTGAGTTCTAATAACGCCTTGGAGAATATCAACAAAGATCTTCTTCAACTTACCGATCATCTCAGTCAATTCTCGAAAGACCTTGAACTCATTTATGAAGAAGGAAACGTTTTCTTCATGATTTTTGAAAAAAGCGTTTCCGAATGGGAAAAGCTTGAGATAATGAACAAATATTCTCCTGGATTATTTGAACTGATGAAAAATTATTCGCACAATTATTTTATGACTCTCTCCAAAACAGAAGTGACGATGGAAGGTATTTTATTATCTAAAAAAAAATCCAATAATAAAGAGGTGGTTCTTTCTGAATGGATAAATTATTTGGATATCAGCTTGTGGTGTGACACTTCAACTATCAAGAAATGCAAGTATGAGCTTTCTCGAGTTAAGAAAGTCATGGAGTTCATCGGAAACAGTAAATCTAGTTTGGTTGAGGTTAGATACCATATTTTTCAATATTCGAATTATATGGATACTATTATAAAACGTCTATCAAAAGAAAACGTGGTAATAAAAAGTGGTCAGGCCACCAAGAACCTAAAATCTGTAATTAATAAAATTAAGTCTAGCTATATGAAATTTTTGGCAAATCAAGATGTCATTCCTAGAGCTAATGAAAACAGCTCTGATCTCGATATCTACAAGAGTGAACTTGTTGGAAAAGTTGGGTGTCGGGAATTTATGACTCACTTTGCCAGTCCTCCAGTCTTCCAGGGCGTACGTACGACAAAACATTCACCATTCTTACAAAACATTAAAATCGGCGCTGGTACATATATTGATTCGCTCACCTTTGAATGGTCCGACAACATATCATTTAAATATGGTGGGAACGGAGGTAATATAAGTGATTTTAATTTGGATGAAGGTGAATCAGTGTTATGGGCTAAGATTTACCAGTATGAAGGGGGTATGATTTGTGGCCTTGAATTTCGTACAAATAAATGGAAAACTACAGGTATCTTAGGCAAACCCATAAATCCCACAATTCTTGAGGCGCCAATTGGATATGAGGTGGTCGGTCTCTATGGCGGTTTTGATAAACATATATGCGGGATCGGTATTCTTTATTCAAAGATTAAATGGGGTTCATTTGGAAATTAAAAAATCAAGGAATATGTTGATGCACATCATCTAAAGGTAAAATAGTGTAAATCTTCATATTTATAATATTTTTTACATGTAAGGATAAAGAGCTTTATTAGGCTTTATTCGTCAATCGCCTTTGGCATCATTGCAGTGCTCCAATTCTATGGAGACATATTGAGTTTTCTATAGAAGGTTATCGGCAGAACCAATGTAATAAAAATACATTTGGACCTCTTTATTGGCAATTAAGAAAGTTTAAAGAAGTTATATGTAAAGAGAAAAAATCAATTTATTTCTCAAAGATGATGTATCTCAAATTGCGGGTTTAAAAATCTCGGATGAATTACTTAGTGAAATTTGTATTCATGCCCGAATATATTATTGATCGAAGTTATGGTTTCATTAATATACTAATTATTTTCCCGGTATGACTTAATACTCTTATATGTCAGCGAAACAAAAGACAACTTAGCATACAATAATTAAAAGGTTAGGCACGTAGTGCTATAATCGTATTTTTAATATTTTTAGAGGTCGGCTAAGTAAAAATATAGAGAAGCAGGATTCAAGGGAGGAATGGAGCATAAATCCTGCCGAGCCCTAACCCATATAATGGCAGCTCCTTTCCCGATACTCATTTTGTTTGCTATTGATCCAAGCACCTATTTTATCTAAGTTTCTGCCTTTTAATCATTAATTCTACGATAATAATTTTTGATTATATCTCTACTAAGTTTTCCCACCCCAAGATTAAGAACATCAACGGCTACAATATCACACATATCCTCTAAAGAACACGCTCTCTCTATCATAATCCTGTCAAAAATAATCTTAAATTGGTTCCGGATTTCTGAAGTTATATCTGAAATGATCGTTGGAAGAAGCTTCGGATTGATTTTCATCACCTTGTTGGTCGGATGTGTCTTCGATAGGTTCGATTCTTATTTCGGAAGAAATGGCACTTTGTGCCTGAACAACGGCATAATGTCGATTAATTTCGTTTTGGATCGTTAAGATTGATCCATTAATTGATTCGAATTCTGTTGCAACTCTAATATGATAGGTTTGAAGGATACGTTCAATTTCATAAAGTCTGGCATCATGATTGTCAAGCTCGGTGGTGAGTCGGGCATCACGGTTTGCAAGAATTTCATTAATGGTATCATGTGCAGAAAGATCGGAATTATGCTTGACGTCGATGTCTTGCTTAGTGGTACGTGAAAAATAAAACGTGGCACCGACAAGTAAGTACATAGAGATTTTCTCTACAAACATTAATAGGCCGGAGAAATCCAAAATGGAGCGATTCCAGAAACAACAAGCGATGACATCTATAAGGGGAGATTAGTCTGTTAGCATATATACATGAATGTGGGGGAGATGTCATAGCATATAAACAAATAAACAAATCATAATCGTTAGAAATTAGACATTATTTCGAGTGTATGAATCTTCTTATTTATCGTGGGTAAAATTTATTAGCGGAGCCTTTAGTGAAACTAAAGAGATTTTTTAAATGTTTATTCCCCCAAATCGTTGATTATAACGAAGGAGTAAAGTGTCACGGATATTTTTTCTCCACCTTTTTATATAAAAAAAATCAAAGATCTGAATTTATTTATAGGCTCGGACGGTAAAGAACCAGAAATTGCCAGAACTTTTTATTGCAAAGCAGGCCTATAGGGACGACTCAAAGAGTCATAGGAAACCCCACTTTACGTAGGTGAAATGTGTTAATTGGATCAATAATTCTTTGCTCTTGTAATATTGACACCAGCAATCGACATTTGTTGTTCGTACCACAAACTTCAAATTCAAATAATAAATCGATCTTCTATCTAACTCAATTTCTTTTTGCAATAGTATCTATTTCGATATAAATTCCAAAATTAGAAATTTTATATAGATGATAAACATATAACCCTTACCGAATTTTGTCAATGTGTGAGTGTATATTAACGTAGATCAAAAAGCTTTTATTGGTATAATAAAAATAGTACGGTCATACCGTGTATATGTGAATCTATCTACCAGTTATTTTTTAGTAAATTTTTTGATCCTCGATCTCTTACTGACTGGGGAATTATCGACACTAATTCTGTCCTTTAATAACCCAACAATTATCCCGATTATCTTTTTCACACTGCTTTGAAGCACGTCCAGATTTTCTTTGATAGCAGTTTTTGAGAGATTGATCTGGTACTCGCTATTACTTATAGCATATATTTCTTCGGGTGTATATATGATGAAATGCCATTCCATGGCTAAAAACGAATCAGATAATTAGCAATAAAAATATATAACTGCGAGACCCGGAGTCTCTCCCTTACTAAATGCCAAGAAAAATCTCACATACTTGTTGATACGATCCCATATGGGTAATTATTTTTGAAGGCAACAAAAATGCTAGATATGATTTTTTTTGGATCCAATTTTTAAACATACATATATAGTATAAATTTTAGGATCATGCCAGAAAATTTCTGGTCCGCCTTCAAAAATAATTATCCATATAGATAATCAAAATAATCATTCCCAAATGCTTGATCTACGGTTCTTTTCTTCTTATTGGTCTGGTACGCACTTTCAAGCTCTGGCAAATTTTGAGCATATACGATCCTGATATTTTGTGGTTTGGCCTCCGTAATGCAAAGAAGATCCTCAACGCTCTTGATCATGTAGTCGACCCGACCTGTTGATTATTCTCCAGGGATATCCTTTTGCAAGGCAATGAAAATATCCTCAGATGTATGTTTTTTGGTAATGGTTATTGATACGTGTAATATAGCTGAAATAAATTCACAACGCGTTGCTTCGTTAGCGTCCATTATAGTCTCCACATTTGAAAGTTTCAGGATTATATTGTTCATACAATGATTTCATTATCATCTATTTCTTCAAACACTAGAATAAAAGTAGTTATTATATGATTAAAATTAACCAGACGCCCATCTCAGACAACAGATATGTAATTACTTACCAGGTACGAACTGCTTGATATTCGTTATATCCACCAACCAACCTTGTTTTTCCGAAGCATTTCTTTCATGTCATCCAGAGTTTTATACAACAAATAAGTTCTTAACTTCTGCTCTATAAGGTGCTCAATAAACGTTACTAGTGTTATAGCAATTCCTATTTCGAACCCACATTATTCAAGTCTCTCTTCTGTTAACTCGAGAAAGACAAGACCAGTGATTCTCTTATCACGAAATATTTGAAATCCGCTTCTATAAGCTTTGAATTTTTCTTTCGCAAATATTCATAATTTCCTCCGTATCTAGATCTTTAACAGTGTCTGCCATCGTGTAAGTTGACCTTTCTTCCGTCAAAGTAGAGGATGTAGAAACTGGTGAGGAAGGTGTTGAATTGTGAGAAGACATGATATCATTTTATATCTAAAAATTCATAAAATCTGGTATATGCACTACTTTGTAAAGAGTCAGATAATGCAGGGAAGAAAGTGAAAAAAAATTTTATATGTTTTTGGGAAGATCAATGCCTTTATATAATCGACTGATTTATGCGAGTCACAAAGTCGGCTAACCCAAGTAGATCCCGGAGATTGTGGAGATTTCGACTTCCCAAGACAAAAGTCCTTTGATATACGCAGTAATAGAGATTCACAGTCCGCTCCTCCTTACTGCCTTTTTGAGATCTGTTTACGCTGGTTCTTATCATAAAGCATGTACTGTATAATGATAAATGTTTCCATCCAATAAAATATAGTGATTATCGATGTTATACGGTTACTTCAACTTCTATGATGATCTCTGATTAGTTAATTAATATGATCCGTAATATTTTCCTTACCTCATATGTTCATATTATAGTCACTATGCATCTGCCAATGGTGAGAAAACACAAATTAGATTCAAAAGAACTATAAATAGTTACTGTATATCAAAAATTATATGTTTTAAAAATTCAGAATTCCTATATCACCAAGATCGTTATCTTTTTTACTTCACAAAGAGTGTCAAAATTAAGAGGTTTATTCAAACCAAAGAAAATAACAAATAACTAAGATTTTAGAATTGATTTAATGCTTCTGGATGGTATAAAATACTTTATTTTTCTCTTTTGAAAGATAGGCCAATAATAGTTTTTATTATTAATTTGAAGTAATATATTACCATTTATTATATCAATATTTAATTAAGATTATAAAAACATATTTATACTTATTGCAAACTTTGTATTTAGAATTGTGAAAATGAGCAGTAATAAAAAAAACTATTACTAAGACCAATGATTATTCTGCCTCTAAGACTAATGATAATGATACTTCTGAAAACAATTATTTTAATAACCTATCATTTTTTGCATCAAGAATTAGATAACAGAACAAGCCAAGACAATCTTTATCTTGTAATCTTTGTATTATAAATATTTTATAAAGTATTTGTCATATTGAAATATAATTGTTAAAGATAAACAATAATTAACAGCATTATGTTTTTAATAAAAATTAGATAAAAAGACTAGGAAAAAAATATCAAAAGGTAATTTAAAACATAATAAGAAGTATAATAATGATGATTGATTAATTCTGATAAATGGAATAATATGTTGAATCAAGTATATAATTGATTTATCTTTTTTGAAATATATATATTTTCTTATCTATATGTCATCTAATAATTTTTTAAAAAAATAAAGAGAATTTGATATATATATGAATTTATTTTTTTGTGCAAGTCATCTCTCAAATTGTGATCTTTATTAATTGTTGATTTAATTTTTACAAAGTGACTTGATATAAAACTTACAATAATAGTGATAGATTGAGATATATTGCTATGAACAGTGATCTACTAATAAATAAATAAATTTTATAAAACCTTAATTTGGCAAAATTTTAAAAGTAACTATTTACTGAATTAGAAGATCAATGTTTTTCTAATAATTTAGTTTTTTATACAAATATAATAAAAATAAATTTTCAGTTAGTAAGATATAGTTAGAGAAAATATTTGGAAAGAAGATATTGAAATAAGAGATATAACTGTTAT